TGGGAGTTGATTTTGAAATTTATATGTAGTGAAGAAATTTTATAAAAGTGACAAAAGTCTCAATTTTTCATAATCTTTATTCTTAATCATAGTGACCTTTTAAGAGTGAATATTTCTGCACTTCTGCAGTGAAGAAACATTTGTCTAGAATATGGCAGTTCCTTCCTTTCTCTTCATTAAAATTTTGATTTTTTTTTTTTCCCGAGACTGGGAATTGAACTCAGGACGCTGCGCTTGCTGGGCAGGCACAGCACCAGTGAGCTACATCCATTGCTCTTCACTAAGATTTTAATCTGTTAAATTCATGTAAAATTAAATGTTTTCTAAAACAGCATATAAAAAGTACAGGTAGTCCTATTCTTATAAGTCAATACTGTTTATGTATGTCTGTGTCTCTCTCATACATATTGCAATGTTAGCCAAATGCTAACAATTACTAATTTCTTTGGAATGCAATTTTTTTTTTTTGGTCCTGGGGATCGAACTCGTGACCTTGCGCTTGCAAGGCAGGTGGTGGGACCACTGAGCTAAATCCCTGGCCCTGGAATGCAATTTTGATTGTTAATTGTCTCCTTAAACTTTTCAAACTTTTTAATAATGAAAACATATTGGTCTGGGATTTGGGTCAGTGGCACCAGGCCTGCCTGGCAAACACAAGGTCCTGAGTTCAATTCCTAGTACCAGAGGAAAATTTTAAAAAAGGAATATTGAAAATATAACATTTTTATAAGTACAAACACCATTTAAATGCACCCATTAGAAGTACCCATTTCACATGAGTTCGATGTTATACAAACTAATTTTACTATGTTATGTCAGTCTGTAAAAAATTCTTAAAAGTTCATACGATACACTCAACTCACCAGGAAGTGCTGCTTTGCTTATAATTCCGGTAAGCAGAGCCAGTTCCTGCAAAGAGCCAGCACTCATGTCCTGGCAACGCAGAATGGCTTGAATGGTATCAGAATGCGAAATGAGAAACTGCAACACCTGATCCACGGAGCAGGAGGAGCACAAAGGAAGGCAGAAAAGTAGACAATTACATGATAAATGTATAATTCACCTTTACAGTACTGTAGCAAGTAACTCAACGTAATGAGGAAGAGTAAGAGAAGCGACTACTTTCTATGCTTACATAATTTATTTCTTCAAGAAACAAATATTTAACTAAAATTCACAAGAAAGCAAAAAGAAATATTTCAAACTTTATAAATTAGTACTATACATTAGAGGCAATTACAGAAGAGTCTAACATAGAGAGTCTAACGTGGAACTATGTATGAAAACTATTATTTGATACCTATTTTATTTCTTTTCTTTTCTTTTTTGAGGTACACCAGGGATCGACCTCAGGACCTTGCACTTGTGAGGCAGGTGAGGCACCACTGAGCTAAATCCCCAGCCCCTATTTTATTTCTTTTATTGTTCGTTTAAATAGAAGTGAATATAAAATGGCAACTGAAAAAAAAAAAAAGGCAGCTGAATTCAAGAAGGTGCTCTATGAAAAGTCTGACGACCATGACATGACACAGTCAGCACTTTCACCTTGAGTATCTCAACTTGTCTTCAAGGGGGAGACTAAGCTAAAGCAACCTGCACATCTAAATCAGAGCCATTTAAAAGATTCCCAGTCTCAGCCCACAGTCATTGAATGTGGAGATCGGGAGCTCCTCAGGTGGTTTTGCAACGCTCAATACAGTAATGATGTTAGGATACCAATGTCTTGCATCAACGTTCCACTGCTACTGAAAACTCTTGGTCTCAATAAGGGAGACAAGGAGAGAACTACTGTAGCAGCCACGTGTACAAGAGTAGGCTGTCCCCAAGACTGCTGCAGTGTATCAACATTTCCTAATGAAAAAAGTTTTGACAGAAAATTCACTTATTTAAATTATAGATACAGTACTTTGTTCTGTAGAAATCACATATAAATGTGGCACTATCTTGTATTTTCTACAAGGCCTAACATATCTTTCAATAATACTTGGTTAAATTGTATCTTAAGGGTCAGTCTATATCCATTATAATAAATATTTTCTTTCTAGAGGAACAAATTTCAAACTCTTCTTTCCATCTCACAATGGTATTAATTAGCTACAGTGTTTTGTTCACACAAGAGTATAAAGACAGCCAATGTAGTTCACCCTCAGGTCCAAGGGGCCTATTTTCTACATCTTGTTCTGCCTCAAAAAGGAGGATGAAGGTAAATTCTTTGGGGCTGTCTTATGTTTTAGGGCTTCTGCATTTGCAGATGGAGGATTCTCCACTGCATGAATTCTAAACAAACATGAATTCATCTTACCTGCCCTGCGGCCTGCAAGTGCTGCGCCGTACTGGATGTGAGGACCACCTGGCACAGCTGGAGGGCAGGGAGGAGAATCTGACGGTAGCGATCCACGGGTGTAGGGATGAACATTGGGGAGTCTCTCGTGCCAAACATGCTTGATGTTTCAATGACACAAGGAAAGAGAGCCACATTCCAAGAATAAAGGTTTGCTCTTAATAATTCCTCAACATGCACATGGCAAACAAATCAGATCCATCTGATTAAGATGTGACACTACTACAGCTAGTGAGGGCTTGGCACCCCATATCCACAGTGGTGCTCCAGAGAAATCTGTGTTTACCTAAAGTTACAGCTTAGTAAAAGGGAGTTAGCTGAATTCTGACAAAGTTTGTTAAGGAAAACTAAAAATTAATGCCTGGAACTTCTCAAACATATTTATTTTTTCTCTAATGTTCCTAGGCCATAGAGACTGTAAGAAATAGATTAAAAACAAGTTACTCCAATATCCCTCAAGGCAAAAATGAATCTATCTACATGTTCCATTATATAAAATAAAATGAGATTAAAATAAAAGTTAAAGTGAGGTTGTAATATCACTTAGCCTTTAAAATTAGGTCTCAAAACACTATTAATAAACTATTTTTATTACAATTGTTTATATTTAAATTTTTAGAGAAAAGAAAATACAGTACTTACCTGTTTAGAGAATGGAAGAATATAGAAATAAAAGGAAATAAATGAGAGCTGTGCAGACAAGTGACAATTATATGCTATGAACTGAGAATACTCAACCCTCTTTATGAAAGGTAAAAACAGTAATTCCATATTTAAAACTTTATTTTACTTATTTATTTTGGTTTTCTGATACAGGGTCTTATTTTGTACCTCAGGGTGGCCTTGAACTCATGGTGATCCTCCTGCCTCAGCCTCCAAAGCGCTGGGATCACAGGCGTGCAACACTATGCCCAGCTATGTAAAGCTTTAGAAAGCAATGCCAAAATAATAGCCCCCCCCCCCCCCGCAACACAGTTCTGTAGGTAAGCCTGAAAAAGTTGAATATTCAGTTTGGCAGTGAATCCTTTGAAAACAATTACTAAGCCCAACTTAAATAACATTTACTGAGTGAAAATATGCTATGTGCTCAAGAATGCTGTGGTTATAGCTGAGCCTGATGGCACATGCCTATAATGCCAGCATTCAGGAGGCTGAGAGGCAGGAGGATCACCAGGCTTCACAGCCATCCTGAGCAACATAGTGAGTTCAAGGCCAGATGGAACTGTACAGACCTGTCTCAAACAAAAGAAAGCTACAATGAAAAAAAGAATTTCAAATTGATGCATGATTATTCCAAAATAAAACCCATTATTCTGTAAAACTAATACACATTAATAAAATTTCACACTGAATATTCCATATTCAATCTGAAAAGACTGAAAAGCCTTCAACTTGAAAATAATTTTATTTGAAGCTTTTCAGTTAGTAAACAATAGGTGAAATAGTAAAATGAGGTGGGGGACAGCTCTAAAACATCATTCAAATTTTTAACTCACTATACTACTTAAAAAGACCACTGTAACTAAAATCAAGTAGTTCTACTGATCAAAATATTAAGGTTGGAAAGGTACACATTTACTAAGAGAATTCTCTTCCATTTTCCTCTTATCTTACTACTTTAAATGGAAACCAGTGGGAACTTACCTACTTTGACACTTATTAGCAACTGCCATTTATTAGTAAGTAACAAGGGCCTATGACTGCTCCCCACAAAAGATGGGAGAGTACTGCTTAAAACAAACAGAATTATAAACCAATGGCAAAATTATGTTTGGAATTTTTCTTTTTACTTCTTTTTCTTATCAATACTGGGGATTAAAGCCACAGGTTAACATATGGATAGGCAACCGCTTCCCCACTGATAATCTCTCCAGCCCTAGAATTTCCTTTCTCCTTAAAAAGCCTTCACTGTGAGCTTAACCAGGACAGTGAGGACAGATACTTACCCATGTGGGTCCACTTCTGGGCGCGTGTCGTAGACTTGGCACTGTGCCAGCCTCATAATCACCCCAGACCTCAGCAGCTCTAACGCACCTTGTTGTATCTTAGCTACTCTCGTAAGAAATGCCTAGGAAGTCACAGAAGAACACTTACTAGTATTGTAATCACATCAAAGGGACCCATGCAAAAACAAGGCGCTTTCACAGCACATTTCCTATCTTTAATCACTACTGAAGATAGATTCTGAGCCAGCGACAGGGACTTATATCCTTTCTTACAGGATTTCTATGAGGACTCAGTACAATGTTTCCAAGGGGCCTGCATATAATGCTTTGCAGGGGCCAGGGATTTAGCTCAGTGGTTTCACCACCTGCTGTGCAAGCGCAAGGACCTGAGTTCAATCCCCGGGAACAACAACAACAAAAAAAATGCTTTGCAGGACTTAAATATTCAATTAAACTCTAGTTTCTATCAGCATCATGTAGTCTCACAGAGGGCAGATAAGTTTATCTTGCTGATAGCTGTGACTCTAATAATTAATACCATACCTGGGATGTAGAAGGTATTTAATAAATACTTGCTCAATAAGTAAATGAAGGAAGAGAAAGAAGTTAATAAGAATCTACAACTTTACTGCTGCCAATACTCTAACACTTATAATAAGTTCAACCACAACGAAACAAAAATTAAAACAGATTTGGAGTCTAGGAAACGAGAAGTATATGCTCTATTAAAAATTCTGCATCTGCTGAGGATTTAGCTCAGTGGTGCTGAGCCTGCCATGCAAGTGCAAGGTCCTGAGTTTGATCCCTGGTACAAAAAAACCCCCAAAATTCTGCGTTTAAAGAAGAACCAGCACACTAAAGTCTGCAAGTGAACTAATGCATTTGAAATGTTCTGGAAATTTGTTACTCTCCCACACGGAACACTGGGGATTACACTGCCATCACTAGCAGCCTCAGTGAGTAAGCAGTAAGCCTTAATCCAATTAGCCCTCTTAGAATTTCAACTCATCTTTTTGCATATTTCAAAAAATACATTAATTAAAAAGATCCCCAAATTTTAAAATTCTTAAAAAATGATTACAATTTAGATTACAATTATTTCTATAATTACATTATAGAAGTACTCAAATATATGCCATCTAACATCAAATGTCCATCAAGCCTTACCATTTTGGACTCATAAGTGTAAAGGGCTTTTAAAGGGGGAGGTTGTGGAGTTAGCAAGCTCTGCAGAGTACGGTCGTCTTCTAGCAAGCTATCCACGAGGACCTTCAAATAGCCACTGTTGGAAAGGTACAGAAGCCATTGCTGCTGTTTATCCACAGACACAATCCGATCAAGGAGTGCCAGGGCCAGCATCTGAAGGGACAACAAACCAAAGTTTACACTCACAGACAGTGAGCAAAATCAACAACAGTAACTGTTTTTATCTGAAAATATTTAGAACTTTTCTTATAAGGAGAAAGTTGCTTACAATAGTTGCCTTTTTTTTTTTTCAAAAGTTGAAAACTATGTGTCTAGAATCTCACTTATTAATAAAAGAAAAACTTTCAGGATAAAGTTTTATTTCTGAAACAAAACTAACACCTCAATATAGTAACATTAAATATATCTTAGTTGAACCTACATATTACTTGTGAGAGAAGAGTAGTTTTTTACATAGCTGTTTTCCCCCTAATTCTACAGTTTGATGTACTCATCACAGAAAACCTAGAAAAGTACATAAATATACAATCTGATAAACACAATTCATCCATTTTGGCCTATCTCCTTCTAGTAATTTTTCTAGACATAAAAATACAATTTTTTAAACATAATTCAGAGATTACTATGTAATTTATATTTTATCTTATTTCTTAAAATTTTGTTTTCTATAGTCTTCAAATAACATGATTTAAATGTATACAATTTTCCAGTATGAGAAAATTATCTTCTCATTATATTAGCAGCAGCATGCCACAGCATTTCAAGGAAATACATTATAAATGAAAATTCTCTTTCACAAAGCATTTAGGCAGAGAAAGATAATATTCATTATAAGGGCAATGTATTCAGCATTCTCTTAACCCAAGATCTTTGTTAACCTGCATCTTTGTTCCTTTTACCAGTGTTGCTGTAGTTGCCAACCTCAAAATTAACAAAGATAATTCTAAGGGGAAATTTTGATTGAAGATTCTAAACTGATTTAAGCAAAATCTAAATAAACAAAACAGAAGTGCCATATCATGGCAGATTCACCATCATACGTTCTAAAAATGAAATAATTCTCAATGTGTAACATTCAGTTTATAATTTTTTTTTGTACCAGGGATCAAATTCAGGACCTTGGGCTTGTGAGGCAGGTGCTGTGCCACTGAACTCAATCCCCAGCCCCTGTGACATTCACTTTAAAAGCTGATGGAGTTTATACCTTCAAGAAGTCAAAATACTTAGTAACAATACTAAAAAAGAGTTATAGCTGGGAGTGATAGCACAGGCATATACTCCCAGTACTCTGAGAGGCTGGGGCAGTAGGATCACAAGTTTGAGTCCCACCTGTGCATCTTAAGGACTTAAGAGACCTTGTCTCAAAAATAAAAATGAAAAAGGGCTGGGGATGTAGCTCAGTGTGAAGGCCTTGGGTTAAATCCCCAGTACTGGGAAGGGGTAAGGGGTACAGGGGGGAGCAAGAGTTACTTTACCCTTCCAATCTCATGACCGTCACAAGCATCACGACAGACTACTTCCATGAGGGCAGCTCCATAACTCTCAATAATGGCAATGTTTTCTCGCTGCAGTTTACTAAACACATCTTCAGGGGCTGTCAGCCTTTCCCACATGGTTTTCTTAACTGAAAGGATTAAAACAAAAACACTCCCATAAAAAAAGTAGCTCAGTTACTGAGTAATTCCACCTTATAAGCAACAACAACAACAAAAAATCCTTCCACCACTGCATATCCAGAAAGGGCTGCTGATCAATGAGTCTAGGGAGGCGAACTTCAAGAATACAATGTACAGGAGCCGGGGATTTGGCTCAGTGGTTTCACCGCCTGCTGCACAAGCACAAGGACCCGAGTTCGATCCCAGGTAACCCCCCCCCAAAAAGAATACAATGTACATATACCATGTATATACACAAAAAAACAACAGTATCAGGAAAAGGGTGTTTTTCCTTTTCCTTTCTTTTGTGTGTGTGTGGTACTGATGACTGAACCAGAGCCTCTGCATTATGTTACACTCCAGCCACTTTTTATTTTTCATCTGAGACCGGGTCTCCTAAGTCACTGAGTTAACCAGGTTGGGCCTGAAATATCAATCTTGATTTCTTTAAGGATGTTACTCTTTTTTTGGTACCAGGGATTGAACTCAGGACCTTGCACTTGCGAGGCAGGCGCTAGAACCACTGAGCTAAATCCCTGGCTCCAAGGATGCTACTCTTTAAGGAAATCAAAATGACTTATGACCCTTCATCAGAATCAATATCCTATGTTTATCCCACTAATTCATCTGTTTTTGTTTTATTGATATATTTGAAAAATTCACTAAAAAAGATCAGGTACAATAAGGAAAAAATCGTCTTTCTCCATAATGATAATAGTATGATCATTTGGAATAATAAGAGTCATGTGAACCTTAGAAATATACAATTATACCAAAAAAAAGCAATACCTTGTATTTGTAATTAATCTCATGACTTTCTTCCCCAACTACTAACAGAGGTAGAGATTTTTGTTTTGTTTTGTTTGTGGTAGTGGTTGTAAATTCAAGGTGTTCTCATAGAGCTACATCCCCAGCCTGTTTTTATTTTTTATTTTGAGACAGGGTCTGTTGCAAAGTCTCTAAATTGACCAGGCTGTATTTGAACTTGTGATCTTCCTGCCTCAACCTACCAGAGTGCTAGGATTATAGGTATTCACTACCAACCAGCAGGTTTTAAATTGGCATCTTAAAGACTTCTTTTAAACAGCATGTTATTGAGCTCCACCTAATGGTAATTTTGCCAATTTGACAAAAAAGAATATAAAAAAAATTTAAGAGAAAAATGTGAGAGGGATTGGGAAATTCCATTACTATATCTTTTTAAAAGAAACTCATGTTTGTTTTAAAAGCATCTGAACTAATCCAGTACTTTTCCTGATCTTAAAAATATCTGTCCATGGAACAGAAACCCAATTGGACAAGAAATAACAAAGAATCAACAAATAGGATGTCAAATTAAAAAGCTTATACACAACAAAGGAAACAAACAGCAGAGTGAGAAGACAACAAACAGAACAGGAAGTATTTTTTGCCAGCTATTCCTTGGACAGAGGATTAATATCTAGAACATATAAGGAACTCAAAAAAAACCAGACCCCCAAAATAAAAGACCCAATCAGGGCTAGGGATTTAGCTCAGTGGTGCCGCCGCCTGCTTCGGAAGCACAAAGTCCTGAGTTCAATCCCCAATATCAAAAAAGACCCAATCAAAAATGGATGATTGAAATCAATAGAAATTTGTCAAAAGAAGAGTAAGATGTCTCTTCACACTGCTGGTGGTTTCTCTTGCTGTGCAGAAGCCTTTTAATAAGAAGAGATCCCACTTGTTGATTGTTTGTGCTATTTCACAGGCAACTGAAGTTTTGTTCATAAAATCTTTTCCTACACCGATGTCTTCAAGAGGTCTACCTAACCTCTGTTCCAACTGGTTCAGAGTTTCTATTTTAATATTTAGATCTTTAATCCATTTTGATTTTAGTTTAGTGCATGGTGAGAGATATAGGTCTAGTTTTAATCTTTGGCAAGTTGAAAGCCAATTTTTCCAGCACCATTTATTAAAGAGACTATCTTTCCTCCAGTGAGGGAGATGAGATGGCTGAGTGTGTCTGGCGTTGTTTCTGCATCTTCTAATCTGTTCCACTGGTCCTCAGGTCTGTTTCTTTGCCAGTACCATGCTGTTTTTATCACAGTAGCTTTGTAGTATAGTTGCAGGTTGGGGATTGATACCCCCTGCCATGTAACGTACCAATAAAAGAATTTAACAAAAAAAAAAACCACACACACAAAAAAACACATTTGTTTCCATTTTTTTCCTTATCTCATATTTCCCTTCTTTCCTTTCCCCTTCCCCTCCCACTTCCCCTTCCGACCTTTTCTTCCTATTTCACATTATCTATTACACATTTTGAATGTCATCATATCGTATACCTAAAATTTACCTTTAATAAACAATAAAATATTAGGTGAGTTTAAAATAAATAAATCATATACATTGTTGAAAAAAAAAAAAGTATAAGATGGCCAATAAGTACATGAAAAAATATTCAGCATCTTTAGCTAGTGGAGAACTGCAAATTAAAACAACACTGAGATTACATCTTATTCCACAAAGGTTGGCTATTATCAAAAACTCAAAAAACAAATGCTGGCAAGGCTGTGTGGAAAAAGTAACCGTTCTGCACTGCTGGTGGGAATGTAAACTAGTACAACCACTATCGAAATCAGTATGAAAATTCCTCAAAAGACTAAAAAGAGTGATTTCATCTGAACCAGTTATTCCCCTCTGGGTATCTTCCTGAAAGTTAAAGACATCATACCACAGTGCTGCATGCATACCCATGTTTATTGCAGCACACCTCACAATTGCTAAATCTTGGAAATAGCCTGAATGTCTATCAACAGATGAAAAGATAAGGAAAATCTGGTATATATCCACAATGGAATATTACTTAGCCATAAAGAATAAATTTGAGTCATTCATAGGAAACCGAATGCATCTTGTGACTATAATGCTAGGTGAAATAAATCAGACAAAAAAGGTTAAATATCACATGGTTCTCTCAGAAGAGAAATCCAAAGCATAAATAAAAAAAATTTTTTTTTTTGAAACATGGCCTCGCTATGTAGTTCAGGCTGGCCTTCAACTCACTGTGTAGCCCAGGCAGGCCTTAAACTCATGGTGATCCTCCTGCCTCAGCCTCCCAAGTGCTTGGATTATAGGCATGTGGCACCACACCCGGCCCCAAAATATAAATAATTTAAAGAGCAAAACATAAGTTAGATTTAGTTCCTATGTAGATGAGAAAGGAATCTAGAAATACAGAGAGGAAAGGAAAGTAAAAAAGATTAAGATATGATAATACACATGTACCAATTCCCCATGATGAATGTATTCATTAAGTATTGCAAACATGTCCTGCATAAATGTACCACTTGGTTATTATGGCATAACACACTAAGGTACTAAGGTACAGTATATAACCACAATAAGGATAATATGACACAAAGTAAGCTTTAACCCCATAGTGGTTTTAAAAATCTTTGTATAATTCATAATTCTCAAAAACTAAACATGTATCCTCAACTTTTAAGTGCTTTAATGATTACCTCAAGACTCGTTAAATATAGTTGTGCTTAGCAAAAAGATAGAGAAGCGACTTCCACTTTTAATTTAACCATCTCTGAAAACAGAAAAGACTAGGACTTTATCTAGTTCTACCTGTTTCTAAGGTGTCTGGTTCATCTGGTCTCTGGGCAATCTGTAAGTAATAAAGCAGAGAGCCATACAGATGAGTCCTCACTCGCTGGAATCCACCACCTAGGAGATCAGAGAGATGCAGTCAAGTGACAACCTTTTCTCAATGAAAGTTAAAACAAATACAAAGTTATAATTATAGAAAATTTAGATTTAAATAAAAACCTGTCTTCAATATGAAGTCTAACAGTTTCTTCAATATGATGTGCAGTGAAGAATCTTCAACAGAAGAAGGAAAACCCACCAGCGGGTTTTCTGCTGGAGGAGGTGAGGAGAAAGAGCTCTCGAGCATGAGCGCGTAGTGGGCCTCTCCGGACCCTGAGACCAACAGCTGCTTCTGCTCTGTGCACACGGCCTGGCTCAGGTGAGCAGTCAGGGTAAACACAGCGCCTGCGACCACTGGCATAAGTTCCTGTGCTGCTTCATCATCTAGGATCTTAAAGTACAAAGGAAATCAGTGAGGATCCTGAGCTCAGCCATGATAGCAATGAGTGTTATATACACTTAACTTTTCAACTATTGCAACTTTATCAGAATGGAATATAAGAACTATTGGCTAATATATAAGGGAGAAACAACACTAATATATAAGAGTGAAATTTAAATGTGATGCTGGGTAACAGCTGTTTTTTTTGTTTGTTTGTTTGTTTTGGTGCCTGTACCGGGATTGAACGCAGGGCCTTGCCCTTGCCAGGCAGGTGCAGCACCACTGAGCTACTTCCCCTGCCCAGCTGTTCTTAACCAGAAGAGATTCCTATCTGAACTGACAGGGAGGCTTTGTTTTCTGAAATTTACCTATCAGTTCTCACCATTTCAGTCCATGGATAGTTTACAAAGCTACCTAGATAATTCTGATATATACACTCTAGCTGAGAGCATGTACTGTTCAGAATAATAGTTTTCTCAAGGAAAGCCTGAAGAGTGATATTACACAACTCTATTTTACTTCCAATCTAGTATGGAAAAAATTAGGGAACCAAAACATGTTTAAATTATATATATGCAATATATATATTTGTTCAGCAGTATTTTAGGAACTACGTTACCTTATCATGTACATCCTGTAAAATATCACGAATAATCAGCTGTCGATCCTCGGCCTGAATGAGGTCCTGGGGACAAGCTGTCAGGATGATTTCCACCAGCTGCCTCCATGACTCCAGGACATGCCTCTTCGCATGCAGGCACTGCAACAATTTGTTTCTTCCCACCACGTACTGCAGAATAGTGCTAATTTCCTAAAGCCACAGAAATGGAAATGCCAAGTTAACATACACAAGTAAAATGATGTCTATTATCCACAGATTCTTATTTCTTAAAATTGTCAGGTATTCAGAAAAAAAAATTTTTTTTACATGCTTTGCTACACTTTATTATATTTACTAAAATTTTGGTTTTGTAGATTCAGTAATACTAAATTGCTTGCTGGGTTTAGTAGCTTCTTTCATCAGCTCCTGTAACTGTCCAATTTGTTCATCACGAAAGTCATTAAGTTTTTCTTTTGAGAGGAAGGTGCCAAAACATGCTTTTCCAGTTGAATTTTGTCTGTTTTCATTAGCTTGTTGTCTTAATACTGCTGCATAAACCTCAATGTGTCTGCCTACTATTCCTCTTTCTGGACAGTCCTTTTCTTGACATGCTAAGTTTGACTTGCTCAGGACTCAGCTCAATTATTGTATCTGATCTTCATCTTCTCCATTCCTTCTTGCTCTCAAAGCACAGACTGTATAATTAATCTCAGAAAACATTTTGAAAACTTAGCACATGCATGCCAGGCAGTAGATACCTCTTCATGTTAGTCTGGAAGCAATGGCTATGAAAACAAAGATATAAAATATACACGTTCTGTGTGTGCGCACGTGCCTGTGAGTGTGCATGTGTGTTTTATCCAAGGGACAGAGGTAGCACAGACGGACATTTACTTTGTGACTACTCTTTCTCTCTTGGCAACCATCTGCTTTCACTTAACTCCAGGGTACTAGAATTGCCTAAAGCCCAAGTTTAATGGCTTGTTTCCATTAGATGTCTATTTCTTTGCTTCTTACATGGCCTGGCCAGTTATGTTTCCATGTGTAAGGTTCTTCCCATTTGACCTCTTACCCACAACTCCTCACCTGCAATGACAATTCAGTCTTTCACAGAAAGAGAAGCACCTGAAATCTCTAACTAGCATAATGGAAAAGTTATTTTGGCATACCAGGCATTAAGTTCAATTTAGTTTATAAAAATTATAACATCAAAAGTGAGCAATTCCATAGAAGTTTAATTTTTAACTAGTTCACTAATTAATGAACTTCAGGTCTATTTATAGTTTTGTCACTGAAGCAGCAAGTAAGTAGTTAAAATAGTTAAAAGGATAAACACTAACATGTATTCAGTAAAGCTTACCTCCATGAGTAAAGGTCTCTGTCCTATGGCTGCCATACCCTGAAGAGCATTTACTTCAGCCACCAGAACTCTATGAAGAAGCTACACAATCAGAGAAAAAAAGAAAAAAATAAGACTATTTCAGATTCTGATAGAACAGTAACACCTAGAAAGCACTGTAAATTGCTCTGAGGGGAAAAGTCTCAGATTTCCTTTTAGGTAATGTAACAATGCCACTGTCAACTTTCTAGATAAAATACTAAGTATCTCTCACATCCCAAAGAATGGTACCAAAGAGAGTCGGTAGCAGGTAATGCTTGGGATATCTTCTTCTTCCTTCCAGTGAGGCCAATATATATATATATATACACATATATGTATATATATGTGTATATATATATATGTATATATGT